AATGGGGCCAATAAAAAGTAGGTTTTGGACCCTCTTTTTCTACCCCTTCACATTATTTTCTTGCTTTCAAGTGTACGATTAGGCTTAAATGGTGCTTTTCTTTTTCTTGAATGTTTATCATTATGTTTTTCCACAGCCAAAGCAATCATTCAAGAATATTATTAGCACTATTTGAGCTATAATCTTAAACCTAGGCATACGATTAGGGTGATTAATTACATAGTAATTTTCTATAGTGTTATATGTCCCTAATCCCTATGATAAGACTTGATATTGACTTGTTTAATTAATTTCTTAATCTGAAACCATTGGATTTGAATGGCTTTGGCCCATGCTTTATTACTTAATTAATGTAGTAAGGTGGTTTGTGTCATATCATTGGATTTGTATATATTTTTTGGCCCATGGCCTGTAATAAACAAGGGATGACAAGGCTATTCTATAAATTAAGATAATTCTCCTTTTTAATTTCAAGTAGTCTATTGACTCGCACAACACACAATTGTCTCAATGCGAGGAAGGGAGATAGAAAGACGATATAGGGAAGGGAAAAAGACAATAGTATATACAAAAGAGAAAAAACCATTCACAACTAGAATAATGGAAATTTGTACTCTGTAGAAAGATACAAAGTTCATAACATATTTCGTTTTTATCCGTTTCATAATGTTCTGAACATATATTCCTCTTTCTTACACCAATTCACCTTTTTACATTATCTTTCTTATTTCATCCACTTTTTTCTTGTGCAAGTTATAAATGTTAAGAACAGTTTGAAACAAAAGTAACACTCGTATGGTTGTATATCACTACTCTTACTAAGTACGTACTTCGTATTTGATAAGACTTAACAAATTAACCCAACCTAAAACAAATAATGATGACAGACAATTAAAACCCCTTTTCTGTATATTTGTTTGGCGACCTCAAATGTTTTATCAACTTCAATTTTTTTTAATATTATTTTCTTAAAAAAAAAATTATTCTTCAAGATTTATGAAATGACTATTTAAAAAAATATACTAGTATATGATCTGAAATGAGAGATTTATGTTAACAATATTTGAAATATTATAGAGCAAAGTACCAAAAAAATTAAATAAATAAAAAAAAAACTGCACATATATTCTAAGATTGGACAAGGAGAGATTGTATTTGCAAAGAGTCACGTACGGGATGATGAAAGCAATCTCTTTGTTATTTTGTTCAGCAAAAAAAAAAGTGTCATTGTGAACAAAATCATATTGTGTTAATCCGTACGTATTGTATATGTATATACATATAGGACATTTTGTAAGAAACTACCTTTTAAACCAATTATTTTGCGAGAAACTACCTTATAAAAAAAATATTGTAATAAACTACCTTATAAAAGCTAAATGTTGTAAGATACTACCCTTGGTCGGAAAGTGAGAGTTGACTACATTTTTCTGGCGTTGACCAAGTCATGTGCCGGTCACATGACATTTAATTCATCTTGGGTATTATATGGATAGGCTCGGGGAAAATTAGGGAAAAAATGGGGAAAGATGAATTAAACGTCACGTGACCGGCACATGACTAGGTCAACGCCGGAAAAATTAAGTCAACTCTCACTTTCCGACCAAGGGTGGTATCTTACAACATTTAGCTTTTATAAGGTAGTTGTTTACAACGTTTTTTTTATAAGGTAGTTTCTCACAAAAAAAATACTTTAAAAGGTAGTTTCTCACAAAATGTCCATACATATATATATATATATGCCTGATTTCTCTCCTCTTTTTTCCACCTTTCTCTCTCCAAAACCCTAGTCTCCATTGTTGAATTTTGAAGGGGTTTCCATCGATTTTAATCGGTGGAAAGCCCCCCATCCTTGTTTCTTTATTGTTTTTTTAGGTTTATAATAATGCTTCCTCCTTTTGGGAGGAACTTTTCTCCCTCGAAAAAAGGGTTTCCGATCTCCTTCGAAAGACAAGGGTTTTTCGACCTCCTTCGAAAGACAAGGTTTATCTCCTCTTTTCGAGGGAGAAATTTCTTAGTTTTGAATCCATGGTAGCAGATCTAATGGATTGTCGTGAAATTATTTCGTTGGTGAAAAATTTATCAAATTTTCGAATACGAACAGATGAATCAGAAGGAAAACATCCTCACGGCTACAAAGGATCGTTAGATTGTCTCTCCAACAAGGCTGTAATTTTCAGCGATATAAGCGGGAGATGCTCCGCAGTGCAAGATCTACTCGACAATCGTAGTTTTTATGAATGAAAATTCTATTTGATTCAATATCTTATGTATTTGTTAACGTCGAATCTCTATTTTAGATGTCGTATGACTTTTAATTAATAAAATATTTTTGCTATTAAAAAAAAATAAAATATATATATATATATATATATATATATATATATATATAGCTAATAAAAAAGAAATTGAAAACAGTATATTTTAACTTGGACAACGAGTGCTGTATTGAGGGTTTGAGAGAGATTATGAGATGCTATTGTTTCTTCTATAGAGAGTTTGAGATTTTTTTTTTATATATATACAGTGTATTTTTTTCGGCAAGGTCTACGGGTCCCAATCAAGGCTCCTATATACTCCCTCCGTATTTTAAAACTTTGCTCCATTTCTCCATGCACGGAGTTTTAGGAGAAAGTAATAAAATATGGAGGTAGTGGGGTGGGTGTAAGAATAAAAAATTTTGTATAAAGAAAAAGTAGTGGAGAGAATTGAAGGAGAGAGAATTGGAGGAGAGAAAATATGAAATAAATATAATATGATTTATGTTGGGTCAAATAGGTGACATAAATTAATTAAATATTGTAAAATTTTTCTAAATAAGGAAATGAAGCAAGTATTTAAAAACGTCCGAAAAAGAAAAGTGGAGCAAATATTTAAAAACGGAGGGAGTATCACAAAAAGTCTAATTGGCAAAGCCGGAAGAGAGGGGGATAAGGGAAGGGGATTTGTGACCGTTGAGAATCAAACCTCACACCTCAAAGATGCGAGACGACCATTGGGCCACTGCACCAAGAGGTCTCTCTATATATAATTTCCATAAATAATTGGATAATTTAGAGTTTGAGATATATAAGAATGTTAATTATCTTTTTTTTTTTTGTTGAAAAAGGATATTTAAAGCCCTTATGGCTATATATATAAGAGCAATACATACCCAGACAATTCCCCAGATAAACAAAATGGGGTATTATTGTCTTTTCAAGTACCAATGGAGGGGTATATGCGTCTTTTCATGTACTAGTTGAGGGGTACATGCGTAATTTCCTCACCAAGCAGTAAAAGCAAAAAGCAAACAGTAATTGGACAGCTCACCAGAAGTATTGAATAAATGACCCTGCTTTTTCAATACATTTACAAAAATGCCATCAGTTTAACAAAAATTCTTTTATATGGCAGATTAACTTGTATTTTCCCTTTATATAAGTAACTAGTTTGCTGCCCTGTGCGATGCCCGTGTTATCTATTAAATTTTAAGATAAGCATTTTATTGATTTGTTAGGAATTGAGGTAATTTTGTGACGATTTAAATTATGCAGTAGGAATGCAATGACTAATAATAATACTGGTGAAAATGTTTGATTTAAAAAATAACTAAAAAAATAGCTAAGTAAGTTTGAAATATTATAAATTTCTAAAATTAGCTAAAAATAAAGTAAACCAAAAAAAATTGTTCTAAACTCAGTTCGTTGGTTGACTTGAACCTAAAACTTTGGGCTAGTATAAACATTTTTTGACTCATGACTTGACTTGAAATGACCCGTGACCTAACCCAATTGACAGTTCTATATAAATTATTGAAATCATATTAGATTGTGAAGTATCTTATTTCAATCGATTATAATATATTATAAATGAATATTGTATTTTTGAATTAATTCATTCGCACCAAAAAAATTATGATATAAAAATAAATTTATTTGATAAATTATTAATTTTTATGTACGTGATGCGACATTTAGTAAAAAGTTGAAACGCCAAGTGTTGTCTCGTGATCTGACTAAACTTATAATTTATTTTGTACCTGTGAAATATAGATATTTTATTGGAAATAAAACTCTAAACAACAAATTTTATCCTATAAATTTATACAAATTCTATGAAAAATAAAACTCTAAATTAACTTTTTATATCCTACAATGTCTATCCTAGTTTTTTTCGGCCCGTCTTGTGTGTAGCTAGCCAACCACACTGTGTAGCCACTTATAAAAGAACAAAGTAACCCATATAAAACTAACCAAGTAACTCCTATAATACAAACTGAATAACCCATATAACACTATCAAGTAACCTTATAGCACTGACGAAATAACCCCTTTAACACAGACCAAGTAACCCCTATTACACTAACAAAGTAACCTCTGCCACACGATGTGACCAACCACATATAAGAATCTGTGAGTTTTATATCCTAACATAAAAATACAACTTTTTTGTTCATAAAAAAATATCCAAAATAAACCTTACATGTCATATTAATACTTAACTGTTGCCTCCATGACGCGACACTTAGCGTTTGACACTTGGCGAAAAGTTGAAACGCCAAGTGTCACTCTCTTGTGGTCTGTCTAAAAGTTTAACTTTATATATGAAATCAAACTAAATAAAGCACTAACTATTAGGAAATGTTCTATTCGATCTTATAAAAATAATTTCAGTTAAAAAAGAAGGAAAATGTTACACATAGCCCTTAGGGCTAAATATAATTATAACATAGAATCAATAAATATACTTTTAGTTCAAGAATATTAATTTCAGTTCCACAAAACTAATTTTTATCCAGTATTAATAAGGAAAATTTGTCAAGAATATTATGACCTTTACCCGGTCTTCCATAAATATTATGACCTTTTGTTTATCCCGGAATAACCTTTGACAAGGATCTTCTCTAAATAGGACATTTTACCTTTAATCGGTTGTGACTTGCTCTTTTGGTGGGTGGTCAACCCTTGACTTCTATTTCCCTCCAAATGAAGTCTTCGTGGCATTAATTACCCAAACACCCATTAATTTCACTCTCTCTTTGCCTCTCCCAGTCTCTCTCATCCCTCTTTGAATTTTCCAATTAAGGCAATTCATGTAAACACGTTTTAACCACAAAATTGCTCAGAGTCATTAAATTGCGCATGCAATTGGAGTGTTCCGGAGATTATTGGAGCGATTGTTGGTGAGCAAAAGCAAAGTTGGTATTTAAAGAATTTCGAGCCGAAATTGTGGTACTGAGGTAAGTCTTTGTTTTTTTAATTTGGGATTTGTTGGTGGGATTGTAGTGGGATTATGCTTAAGGACCAATTGAAGTGCGATATTGCTTAAAGATTTTTTTTTTGTTAAATTTGTGTAGTTAGATGAAGTACTTGTTGTTATTGTTGTTTTTGTTTGTAATTTTAGCCTAAAATTTGAGTAATTTAGGGCTGATAGCTATGTTTTATGTTGATTTTAATAATTTGAATCATATTGATATAGTTGGTTGATGTGTGTTTTTGTTGGAAGTGAAAAGTGAAGTGTGTATTTGTATATGCTTAGGTAATTATGTCTGCGGTTTTTTGTACGGTTAGTATAAAAGTTTGGCATGGTGGTTCCTTCAAGCATGTTAACAATGGGGAAATGGTAGGGGTGGGAGGGTGATCTTAGGAGGCCAAGGTGCAAGAGGTGTAACCCAAGCAGCTGCTAGAAAAGGTGTGTTTCTTAGCCAACCTACTGCATCAGGTCCGAGAACAAGAGGGAGAGGAACTGGACGAGGCACTGGCAGAGGCAGGACTAAGGTATAAATCCTACTTATTTTAACCATGCATCTTGCTATTGATGAGTGTGACCCTAACAATGTTGTTTTGTTCTTCACAGGTCCCAATAGGAGTTGGAGTGTTGTTTAGTTCAGATGGGACACCACTTTCACAGGTACAATTATGTGATTGCTTCACATATTTTCATTCTTTGCATATCACACAGGTTTTAACTTTTTTTGTGTTTTGCAGGGGGCTAACACTAGAGGAGGGGGTAGAAGAAAGGGAAGAGGTCGTGGAAGAGGATCACAGTCCACCCAATAAACAAAATCTAAGACCTTTATTTAGTTTAATGCCTTGCTAGCATTTTGTCTGTAATGAAGTACTAACCACTATGCTTATTTTGCATGAACAATTATCATTTTGTTTCACAAAGTACTGGTGGATGTACCTAAACTGAAGTTGTTTTGCAATGCAATGTACACTTTATGCTGTTATGTTATGCACGCAAAATTAATACTTAATTAGTAGAACTGAAACCATTTTATTCAACTTAAGTGGTGATACAAAGTCAAACCTTTAACACAATACAACTTCCTAACATAGCTAATTTTTTGGTATTACAATAACAAAGTACATTATTGAACAGGGGAGAGAGAATTAGCAGAAGATTGCCTTCTTAAAACCATATATTTTTTTTAATTTTTATGAGCAGGGGAGAGAGAAACAAAGGGGCTAAATGAATATTTTTAATTTTTAAAGAGCTATAATGACGTCATAGTTGGGTTAAATGGGGGTTTGGTAGTAATCGCAACATCTTAAAAAATTTTGCGGTAGTAATTCACAACTTTTTTAATTTGCGGTACTAATTTACAAAGTGGTATTAACTTGCGGTAGTAATTGACAAATATTTCTTATGTTTATCATGTCAGTATAACTATTCCTTTTTGCTCCCGAAAAAAGGTTATGTTAGTTTGAAAATTCTAATGTAGTCTTATGACTTTTAACTACCACAATTTTTTATGATGGACGGTTGAGATTGTTGGTTTTTTAAATATATTTTTAAGGAAAAATGACCACCATTAATCTCAGCTTTTCCATGTCCGCCAATAACAATCCTGTAAGGAGGGTGATCCCATCGTAAGGGGTACTCTCCTTAAATTCCCTTGGCCACTTAAAAGCCTAGGACTTTACACTTGTTAAGGTGTAGTAGAATTTGAATTCCTAACTGTTTGGGGGACCTTGAATTAGAATTGATTCTATCATCACGCTTTTTTGTAAGAAACAAGTAGGAGTCGCCGATGAGTTTTAGGAAAAACTCATAAACCTCGTTCATGCCTTTCTTCCATGTGGAGTTCATGGAATAATTAGCACAAATCATAAGTTTACCCATGCCCAAATTGGTCTATAAACCAGAAATGAGTTCGGGAGCGAGGGTACTAAGATAACGTTCCTTTCAGAGGGGAATCGTCATCCTAGCCCTAGTACGACCTCTAATAACTCTTCCTTTTTTACAATTTCATCACCAAATAATGTATGCAACGTGATTCCTAAAACTATGTTAGTTGATTTTATTTACAAACATTAATTCACGTAGGAATTACATCGTAATGTCGTTATCCTTATTTAATTAAATTCGTGAAAAGGACAAGAAAATAAACAAGATTCGCCTTGGCTTAAGTGATCAACCAACAATTATTTAATTAAATTCTAATCTTTATTTAACGCAAGATACTATGTGGAATTGATTTATTAATTATTTTAAAGGTGATCAAACAACACTGATTAATTAATTAAAGTCCTCTTAAACAAGGTGATCAAATAACGCAAGAAGGTGATTTAACTAAGTGCTTGGAAATTTACCACTTCTCTTTGTTAGATCTCCGTTTAGAACACTTATGGACTCCTTCTTGTTAGGGAACCTCCACCGTAGTAACAAATTATCGAAAGGGTGAGTGTTTAGGACAAGAGAGCTAGGTTGCACAAGTTCACAAGTTATTTCGCCAGATTTTTAGGTTAATTTCTATGTGTTTAAGCCTCGGTTTAAGCTCGTATTTATAGGGAATGATTAGGTTTAGGGCTTCGAGCATTCTGCCGCAGCAGGTGTCGCGTGCAACAAATAGAGTTGCGCGCGACATCCAAGCACAAGTTATAAAGTTGCGCTGCTATGTGCAGCGCAACTATTTGTCTTGCGCGCGGCTTTATGGTAAGATTCGATTTTATATTTTACGTATAATTTCGAATAATTCTGAATCTTCTGCAGCGCAACGTGTCGCGCGCAACTGAATTAGTTGCGCGCGGCAGCCCAGCGCGACTTTGTGAGATGCGCGCGGCTTTTTCTGCGGCAGCACTAAGTTTTAACCTAGGCGCTCCCAAATCCGTCATTATTAGGGTTTAAGAACAGGCTTAAGCCTAATTATGATCGGGTTTAGTTAATTGGACCTTTGTTTTGGCTTTTCCTTTAATTTGGGCTAGTATTTTGTGTTTTGTGGCTTAACCAGTTATCCATAAGTATCCTTCACTTCGATCCAACAAGAAAATGGTTTTATTTATCGTCATTGCACTTCCTGTCGGGACAGGAGGCCAAAAGTAGATGTCTACAAATCCCTACTTTCGATTATTCATTATCACTTCCAACTTTATACCCTATTAATTTTTTTTGCACCTAACCGGTCATCCAGCCTAATATTACAGGTTACAAGACACGTGTCATCCTATAATTGGATTAATTTTTTTTTTAAAAAAAAAACCCACAATTCACCCATGCCCAACAGCTGCCACCACACCTAGCCCCGAAAAACACCACACCCCACCCTGCCGGAAAATCGACCCCATCCCCAAAACCCTCTCCCGCGCTGCCGGAAACCGCTGTCCAGCCCTCCCATCCCTCGAAACCCACCCCTTCCCTTCCCCGCCCTCGAAAACCCCTCCCCTCCCCCGCTGTCGGAAACCGCCGCCCAGTCCTCCCCCTCCCTCGAAACCCATCCTTCCCTTCCCCCGCCCCCGAAAACCCCTCCCTCGCTGCCGAAAAATGGTGCCCAGTCCTCCCCTTTCCCTTCCCCCACCCTCGGTTTCACCCCTTTCCCCGACAATCAGCCATGAAAATCGATTATGTGGGTGGTTTCAAGAGTCGGGGATGGGTGGTGGAGGATGGTCGGTGGTTTTTGGTGGAAGTCGTAGGTTGGCCGACCGTTTTCTGGTGGAATTGAGGGTTGGGGTTAGGGTTCCAGCAGGATTGAGGGTAGTGGTGGTGGTGGTTGAAGTGGCTGTGGTTTTATTATTATTATTATTATTATTATTATTATTATTATTATTATTATTATTATTATTATTATTATTATTATTATTATTATTATTATTATTATTATTATTATTATTATTATTATTATTATCAGGTTGCGACACATGTGCAACTAATCACAAGTCAGCAAAATTTACCTGTTCAACCGGTTCCAAGTCATTTGGGTGCAATAGAAATTAATCCAAGACAAAGTTGGGAGTGATAGTGAATAATCAAAAGTAGGGATTATTATTGGCGGACGGGCAAAATTGGGATCAATCAGGGCAATTTTTCCTATTTTTAATTAGTAATTATAATTAAAAAAATATTTTTAATTCTTATATATAATTTTTTTAATATCCTTCGAAAATATTAAAAAATAATTTCTAGAAGATATAAATATATTTACAATAATCAATAAAAATATTTTTAATTAAAATTACCCATAAAAAAATCGAAAAACAAATAATCTCTATCGTCCATTTTAAAAAATTGTGGTAGTAAAAAATTATAAGACTACATAAGAATCACCTTATGTTAAGTACTTTTACACGGTTAACATTAGAAATAAGATAGTGGATAACAATTATTAGATTTCACATATATCAATTACACGGTTAGTATTGAAAATATGAATATTTGCAATGAAAGTATAAAGAGTAATTAAGATCAGTGTGTAAGAGGATGACAAAAAGAAGGAAAGGAATAGCAGAGAGGAAAATAGCTGATATATTTTCTCATTAGCCAAAAACAGCATACATTGTACCTGATATATAGTCAGAAAAAATACAACTTTTTTACACCAAAAATAAGAAAACAGCTAAGAATCTTTTACAAATCCAGGCCCTCTAACAACCTAAGTGGCTGGCAGAGAACAGCTGTCATAACAGATTTGATACCCTCAACTAAAAGACTAAAATGCCCTGTGTAGGGAATAATTTCAAGCATCCCACACTTGAGTTCCACTGTGATCATACACTTAAGTATGGTGGCGTCCAAAGGGAAGGAATCTAGAGCAAAAGAGTCGCTAACAAATTTTAGGAACTTGTAACCGTTCACCAGGGTGAAGGTTACACCCCTTCACGATCCATGAGATCGCTAGCTCCATAGTGGTCTGGAACCATGATTGGATATTCGGGGATGAAGGTACAAATCCAACATAAAAGACGTTGAACTTGCCTTAAAATAAAGCCTCTACTTTATTCTTATCATATTCATGTGCGCTCTCTGACTAACATACAATCAATATATTAATCCTAAACCTGTTTAATCTATGTTGGTTGAATATTAATGCACAAATAAAACTATTATTGGCGATCACTTGAACTATAACCACATTAGCCTAAATAAAATTATTAATTATCTTATTAAGCATGATTACAAATACAAATTCTCTTTAAACCTGCAAGAGATGGCGTGATCAAGCAATAACAATAATAATATCAAACAACAATAATAATATTGATACAACAAATCATCACCATCATAATAATAATCTCAATAAAGCATAATATTAGCAAGATCCGAGGCATGATACTAACAAGATTAATAACAAATCCTAGCATGTCACTAAACAATAAAGATCAAATCTTTATCCCTAACATGATACTAACATGATTGAAGATTTAAGAAGCAACCTGAACATGATACTAGAAAGCAATAAATAACATCTTAACATGATACTAGGAATAATAAAACATAAACATGCTTTCTAAAGATAGAGCAATTAAAATAACTTACTTTGTGGCCTCTTACATATCTCTTTCTAATAACAAACGACACAGGTTAGTAATTTCAAGGAAAATATTAAATCAAACAATTAATTTAAATAATTGAAATAGGGATTTAGGACCAAACCCTCAGAAATTATCAACCTTTCACGTCTAGGAAGAAGACAACTTCAAACTTGGCTAGGTATATCTAGCACTCGTGAGTGCGGTATTTTTATTTGAAAAGGGAAGGCTTAAAAAGAGGGAGAAAGATTAAGCTATTACTCAAGAAAGAGAAGAGAATTAGAATTATTGATTATGAATTGTTGATTCATAAAATAGGGGAAATACGACCCTATTTATAAGGAAAAAGATCCCTGTATGGAATATTTCAAGCATTACCCCAAACTTGAACCCCACTGTGATCATACACTTAAGCATGGTGGCGTCCAAAGGGAAGGAAGCTAGAGCAAAAGAGTCGCCAACAAGTTTTAGGAACTTGTAAACC